TCTAATTCTATCCCTTATAACTCAATACTATTTTAGGAGATCACACATCTATCCTAATCTAATTCTATCCCTTGTAATTCAAAACAAATCGGCCCTAAAAGATTATAAATAATAACTTTGGATCAAAAACTTTTAAATATATTGATACAGGAAGTAAAACAAAGTTTATCTCTAATGTCAAAGTTTTGGATTGGAAGGTCTAGTCTTTATGGTTGTGAACCTAACCTAGGCTTGTTTTAGGGATTTGAGCCATTCAATTTATAAACTCGTTAGGCAAATCATCTACATAAAAAAAAAATTAATTTAGCTAAGTTAATTTAGTTTAAGTCAGTAGCCAAATGGTTAGTTTATATTTACATGAAAAGAGAGAAAAAAAAAAAGAAAAAAACAATGATCATGAACTAATCAAATAGTTTCTAATGGTTTGTTTGGGATACATTATTTTTGGACATTTTTTTTTTATCTAATTTATATCACATTACTTTTTATTTAGATCCCATCACCTCTTTATCACATTATATATCTTTTTCATAAAAAATTAAAAAATATAATTATTTCAAATCATTCCAAATAACTCCTAACTTAATTTTTTACACAAATATGTGTCCTTCTAATTGAACAATTCATATCAGCATAACAAACCCAAGAGAGCTCATATTAGGGGTGAGCAGCGGATATACTGATCCGTCAAAACTAATCGAACCGATCCGATTCGCCGCATTTTGGACGGATGCGTGATGACGAGCCAACGGTTACGGATTGATTTTCTCCAATCCGTCAATCTAGCGAACGGATGGCGGATTTGAAATTCCTTTGGCCGCAACCGAACCGCCAAACCGCGAACACCCCTAGTAATTTATAAGACTTTGAGTTTTCAGTTTGTTTAAATATTCTGTTTGTGTTTTCAATTAAAAAAAAGCTTAAATATTTTGTTGAAAAAAGTTTTCAACTTGAATATCTATTTTGAATTGAAAAAAATAAATGTATTATTTATCCATATTTTTTAGTTTTTAAATCTATCTCTAAAAATAATAAATAGAAAATATGATATATGCCGGTTAGTTTTTGTTTTAAATAACAATATAGATGTAACAATACAGAGACATACAATCTCTATTACTGCTCTGTTCATGGTTTTGGTGGTTTGAATTGTTTTTATATTTTAAGAACCACAGATTGTAATACTTTATGTGAATGAGACATGCTGTGATTGTAGTATGTGGATGAGGCATGCAGTGATTGTGATATTCTAAAGTTTCAAACTTTCTTACTTTAGATGAGACATGCAGTGATTGTAATATTTTTTTAAGTCATTAACTGTAATACTTTCTCTTTTTTTTTTTGAGGAAGTGCACAAATTAAATTATGTTGAAAATTTATAAAATTTTAATTGCCAAACCGATTTGCATCTATTCGCAAACCGCCAATCCGTTCAATCCACATCTGCCAGATTGGCGGACAGATACGGATTGATTTTCTTCAATCCGCCAATCTGGCGGACGGATGACGGATTGGAGGTTCCATGGCCGCAACCGACCCGCGCCCACTCCTAACTCATATTCATAAAAAGAGAGCCCATATTCATAAAAATTGGACTCTCCAAAATTTTAAATTTAAGGTGTTGTTTGGTAACACTTACATTTTCCGTTTTCTGTTTATATTTACAAAAATTTTAAAAACTCAAATAAAAACTTGTTTGGTAAAATTTTTGATTTATAAATCAGTGGTCTCAGTTTATAAATTTGGCCAAAAAATGAAAACACAAAAAATATGTTTTTATTTTGAGTTTTCAGTTTTTTTTTTTTTTTACCACCCAACACTAGCCACCACCCACCTCCCACTACCACCTGCCACCACCACTCACTACCCACCTCCCACCACCACCCACCACCCGTCACCAGGCCCCGCTTGTTTGGGGTTAACTGCCAAACCGCGAACACCCCTAGTAATTTATAAGACTTTGTGTTTTCAGTTTGTTTAAATATTCTGTTTGTGTTTTCAATTAAAAAAAAACTTAAATATTTTGTTGAAAAAAAGTTTTCAACTTGAATATCTATTTTGAATTGAAAAAAATAAATGTATTATTTATCTATATTTTTTGGTTTTTAAATCTATCTCTAAAAATAATAAATAGAAAATATGATATATGCCGGTTAGTTTTTGTTTTAAATAACAGATATAGATGTAACAACACAGAGACATACAATCTCTATTACTGCTCTGTTCATGGTTTTGGTGGTTTGAATTGTTTTTATATTTTAAGAACCACAGATTGTAGTACTTTATGTGAATGAGACATGCTGTGATTGTAGTATGTGGATGAGGCATGCAGTGATTGTGATATTCTAAAGTTTCAAACTTTCTTACTTTAGATGAGACATGCAGTGATTGTAATATTTTTTTAAGTCATTAACTGTAATACTTTCTCTTTTTTTTTTTGAGGAAGTGCACAAATTAAATTATGTTGAAAATTTATAAAATTTTAAACCGCCAAACCGATTCGCATCCATCCGTCAAACCGCCAATCCGCTTAATCCACATCTGCCAGATTGGCGAACAGATGTGGATTGATTTTCTTCAATCCGCCAATCTGGCGAACGGATGACGGATTGGAGGTTCTATGGCCGCAACCGACCCGCGCCCACCCCTAACTCATATTCATAAAAAGAGAGCCCATATTCATAAAAATTGGACTCTCCAAAATTTTAAATTTAAGTATTCCCTCTCCCTCTTCCAAAACCTATCTTTCATAGCATAATTTCAATAAGTGTATTTGGTTTTAATTTTTTAAAAATATGATTTTTTTTGTCTTCCATATTTTTTTATTTTTAATGAATATTTTTAAAGTTTTAAGTATTTTTTAATTTTTTTAGATACACTTTATTTAAATGTATTTAAAAAATAAAATATTTGTAAAAAAATATTTTAAAAAATTAATAAATACACAAAAATATGAAAAATATACTTTTTTTTTAATATTTTTGGTATTTAGTGAATTTTTTAAAATATTTTTTCACAAATATTATACTTTCTAAGTATATTTATGTTAGGTGTGTCTTAAAATTTAAAAAATTCTTTAAAATATAAAAAAAAATTCAGTGAAAATAAAAAAATACGAAAAATAAAAGAAGTAGAATTTTTTGAAAAGTAAATTATGAAAACTAAATAGATTTTTTTAAAAATTATTTTTAAAAAGCTGGAAACAAACATTGTTAATGCTATTTAAAGAAGTTTACTTAAAACTCTCATAAACAGCTTAACCTTGCTTGGCAAAGGTTTTTTTTATTATTCTTTTTTAGGTTAAAATTTAAAAAAGAAAATAAAATAGATTAAAATAATTAATAAAATATAATATCACATCAAATTTATAATTATTTTATTTTTTCTCCCACAAATATTATAGGCTTGTTTGGTTTATTTTTGAGAGAGTTGTTTTTGAAAAAAAATTTCAAAATTTTGTTTGGTTTGTGGTTTTTCTCAAAAACTTTTCAAAATCACTTTCTCTCTCTTACACATCAATCAATTATTTTTTCTCTATTATCTCTCATTCTCAATTACTTTTTCTCTCACACACATCTACTCAATTACAATAAAATATTAAAATCATCTCAAACTCTCAAACTCTAAAACTACTTTCAAAATATACAGCTAAACAAACTAAAAAAATTTCTAAACTCTCTCCTAAATTTTTTTTCAAAAACAACTCTCCCAAAAACAAATCAAACAAGCCCTATATCTAATTACAAAACAATCCAACATCTTTTTAAATGTAAATATTTTAACCTATAAAAAATAATTAAAAATTAAAATAACTTATCAAAATAGTTAACTTTTCAAACACTCACTTTTATTACTTTGGCCTTGTTTAGAAAGTTGGCTATTTTAATAAATTATTTTAGTTTTTGACTATTTTAGTAGGTTAAAATATTTGTGTTTGGGAAGAGAGTTGAATTTTTTTTATAATTAGATGTAATGTTTATGAGAAAAAAAAGTGAAATAATTATGAATTTGATATAATATTTTGTCTTATTTACTATTTTAACCTATTTTATTTTATTTTATTTTATTTTATAGATTTTAACCTAAAAAAAAGCCAAACCTTGGCTTTCCAAACAGGGCCTTTTATTAGCTCACACATTTTTTTGACAGTTTCGAGCCATTCGAGCCACTAAATTTCGGGCCACCAACCATTACTGAAAAAATTAATGCTATTTACAGAAAAATGATTGCATCTATTCCATTTACGGAAACTTTGATTGTTTCAGCCTTCAGTACCACTGTGATGATGCCCTTAAGCAGTAGGGTTAGTACCCCTAAATTGATCTCAGCATGTCCATTCAAGCCCAATTGTATGACAAGATCAATCTGGGTTAAGTACTTGAAGTTCATATTTCCACCTCCGTCCAGCACATTCGTTTGAAATGTCGGTTGACTTTTTAATTTTTGAATTATTTTAATTTGAATTAAAATAATTTATTTGAGATAAATTTTTTAATATTTTGAATTACTATGAAAAAAAATAATTATGATTTAAATATAACACTCTATTTTGTTAATTTTAAAGTTTTTTTATAACTATTTTAACGTAAAAAATTCAAAAAAAAACTCATAGGCCAAACGAGCTCTTATTATTGTTGGTTGTGGCACTCCCTCTGTTTGCTGGTAGGTACGCTTAGTAATTTCCTCTCTCTCTCTCTCTCTGTCTCTCTCTCTTTCTTCATCCCTACAGTTTCTGGCGAATGAGTCGGTGAGTCTTTTGCTCATCCGAAGGATAAAAGCCAGAGTCTTTGAGCATCTGTTGGGTTTTGGTAATTCATTTTGCTGATTCATTTCCATATATTCGACTATGTTCTTGTTCATATTGGACATGGGTTTTACATTTTAATTTGATTATTGTGCCATGCATCTGGGCTTTTGTTGTTCTTTCTTCTTCCTACTTGCTCTGTTTCTCATTTCCACTGCTAATTTCTAAAGTGTATGTTTGAATCAGTAAAGATGGCTCATTTCTTTGTCTTATGTCTGAAACTTTGATTCCTTACCCTGTTCTGCTCTCCAATTTCTGTTTCCTTTGTTTTTCATTTACTTGATTTAATTTTTGACCAATTTTTAGTTTTCCACTGGTTTTTTTGTGGCAAAAAAAGATTTCTTTTTTGGGTTCCTTAAAATACTGAAGTTGATGTTTGCATTCCTCTCTGTTTAATTCATGACACCGTTTTTTCTGTGGACCACTTAGAAATTGATAGGTGTTTTGTTGAATTTTCAGAACGTGTTTTTTGAAAAAAAAAAAAATTAAAAATTAGATTGGTGAAGAAAATGCAAAATAAAAAAACATGTGTAATTTTTTTTTTAAAAAAAAAAAAAAAAAAATTCTGAAGACTCGACCAAATAAAGCATTTGGGCCCCTCTCCCCTGGTAGTTGGGTTTTCCCTATTTCCATGGATCTGGTTCGCCATCTCTTTTAAGCTCACTGGTCTTGTTAATCACTTATTCACCAACAAAATAAAAAAAGAAAAAGAAAAAAGGTGTAGATCTTTACTCATACCCACTTACAAGTGTGTTTGTGTGTGTTTCAATTGGATTTTCATTAATTTCATAGATAAGGTTTCTCTTGATAAATGTTATTCAAAATGATGAAAAGGGTCTGACTGAAACCCTTTACCTTTTCCTGAAATTTTCTCGTGATTTTGTTATTACAAGAAATGTCCAATTTTTCGGTGTTTGTTTTAATTTTGTTTTCTTTTTGCTCTTTAAAATAATGAAAAATGGGCTAACTGTGAAACCCTTTTCCTTTTTTCTCTGATTTTTTCTTGTGAAAATTTTAGATGGAAGAAGGGTCTGATTTTCGGTGTTGGGACGAACTAATCCCCGACGCACTGGGCCTAATTTTTCGCAATCTATCACTCCAGGAGATGCTAACAGTGGTGCCCAGAGTATGCAAATCATGGGGCAATGTGGTAATAGGACCTTATTGCTGGCAAGAGATAGACATTGAGGAATGGAGCAACCGGTCCGATCCTGACAACATTGATCGGATGCTTCAGATGCTTCTCGTGCGAAGCTCCGGTTCGCTGCGAAAGCTGTGTGTTTCTGAGCTGCAGACTGACCTCATTTTCTCCTTCGTTGCAGAGCAGTAAGTAGAATTGCAGTTTCTCGTGATATCCCCTTAATTTTCTTGGCTTTATTGTCATATAAAAGTAGCTCATTTTAGATTCATGTATAGCCATTAGTTGAGCTCTTTTGGTATGCTTGTGCACTTGACTAATTTGACAATTATGCAAGTATATCGATAAACCATACACACAAACAAGAAGAGTTTTTCACAAACGAGAAAAGAGTACAATGTGTCTGCTTTTGTAGACAACAATACATATGCTAGAGTTGGATCCGTGACCACATTGTTAATTGTACAATACTAATCAAGCTCTACAAATCCAACATAGTCCAATTTGTGGTGTGCTTAGGCAATTTGGTTAGTAATTTTGCCACTAATGCACACTTCCATGGTCAGCTGGTTCACGCAAGAATCCGAACAAACCATTAGTCCAATTTTCCAACTTATGCAAGATGCTAATTTTTTTGGTTAGTGTGAGCTATTAGTCCAATTGTGAAGTTGTTCTTATCCACCAGCAAATCAATATTTAACACAAAATTGAAAAGACCTAGTACTCTTCTTGATTTAGTTATGTCGTTGTTTAGTCCACAGTGATGTAGTATGGTTAATTGAATGGCATTGACATTGAATGAAGCCTTTTGGTTTTGCTAGTGCCGGTTCTCTTAAAACATTGCGACTGCCAAGAAGCAATATGAGCGATGCAATTGTGGAACAATGTGCTGCGAGGCTTTCCACCATCACCTTCTTAGATTTGAGCTATTGTGGTAAAGTTGGAGCTCGTTCTTTGGAAGCTGTTGGAAAGCACTGCAAATTGCTCACGGGGCTTCGCCGGAACATGCATCCCATAAACATAGAAGGCAAGGTTTCACAGGAGGATGAGGCTCATGCCATTGCCGCCGCAATGCCCAAGATCAAGCAGCTTGAGATAGCTTACCTTCTCATCGACACTGAAAGCGTTCTCGAGATCATCTGTAGCTGTCCAGAGCTTGAGTTCTTGGATTTGAGAGGGTGTTGGAATGTCAAGCTTGACAACAAATATGTTAACGACAAGTCTCCGAAATTGAGGATTTTGGGACCCCATGTCGTTGACCATTATGAGAGGAACAACTGGGAAGGTTACTCAGATTACTCGGACTCGTTTTACGATACTGACAGTTTCGATGGAATGTGGGATGATGAGGAGAGTCTGGAGCTGAGGTTCTATGAGGGATTGGAAGAGGACTCTGGTTATGGATGGCCTCTATCTCCTTGAAGTCTTTCTTTCTCATCCCCCCTGTGAAATTGTGTTTCCTTTTTTTTCTGTTTCTTGTTGTTTGTACTTTGGAACTTAGTTTTATGTGCTTTATGGATGTATATGTTTCAATGGAATCAACCTGTGTGGTTTTCTATGTTCCAATGTGAAGAGTAATTATCAGTTCTTGTTGGAGACAAGTCTTGATTATCTTTTCTTTGTTCTACTAAGCAAGAACATGTAGAAATTGAGCTTTTAGGCGAAGCACAGAAAGATAGTCTGTTTGTTTCCTATTTTGATGAATGATCAAAGTAACAAATACCAAAAAAAAAAAAAAATTAAAAAAAAAAAAAAACCGGAAAATTTGGAATAGATCATATATAAGAACAATGGTAATTAATGTGAGGTAAATGTTATAGAGTGTTCCTGTGGTATTGTTTAATGTCAAAATTAGAGTGAAAAAGTAAACTCTAGTACTTGAGATATTGTTTAATATCAAAATCAAAGTGAAAATGTTTTGAAAATATGTGAGAAAGAGTTTTAAAAGTTAGAAAAAAGTGTTTCTGAGATTGGTGAAATTTGTTGTTTTTTTCTCTTTTTGTAATGTTCTTGTGGCAATCTAAATTGAGAACATGAGCTATGCAATAATAAATAAATCCATTTTATTATAATGAGAAGAGAGTGACAGTGGCCATTGTTGATGTTCCTATGTAAATGTATCAAGGGTTCAAGCCTTCTTTTTGCAAGATACACCTCAAATGCACTTGACATTAGTGCATTATTGTTTCTTTGAAGAAAAATCTTGATGGTTGAGATTAAAGTTGTGTAGATTTGGCTTGTCTGAAAGGGATAAAATGTTACAGTTTACAAGCTTCCAGAGAAAAGGAGCCAGAGAGCATTTCAGCTTTTATGTTAAAAGGCATAGATGCTGCCTCTCTTTACTTGGTATATAGCCCACACCAAGGGAAGAATGGCCACTAAAAGCAGTTTGTCTCCAAATCCAGATTTAAGTGTTCAGATTATTGTTCTGAATTGTAATGGGTGGTGGAGATTAATTGAGCCTCCGTTTGGGAAGTGGGTTGGCTTTTTGATTTTTTTGACTATTTTAGCCTGAGATTAAAAAGCCTGATTTGAGAAGGGCTTTTGACTTTTTTTGTGAAAGAAAAAATGTAATGATTATGGATTGGATATGATGTTTTGTCTTATTTGGCTAAAATAATCTATTTTGTCTTATATGACTATTTTAGCACAAATCTTGCTTTCCAAACGGAGACTTTTGTAAGATTCATTTGTAGAATAAATTTGGACAATATGTTTGAATTTCTTAATAGAATTTTGTATATATTTTCTAACATGGTATTATTACTGCACTAAAAATGATTCAAAAAACATAAAATGTGCAACATGTGACCCCATCTCTCTGCTTTTATAATAGTATGTCTATTCTATTATGTAAAACATACAAGTTATTTGGTGAATGTTCATGTCACGCATTTTTTTCATGTTAAAATAATCTCCTATGTAATTAAGTTTTTAATTTTTAAATTAATTTTTTTTTTCAATTTTCTTTTTTGTTAGATGATAGTTACAAGTATCTCCATTTCTACATGTGCATCATGTGTGTTTTGAACTTCTAGTTTATATACTTTTTAGAATAATGATATATAAACAATGTTTTTATAAAATAAAAAATATATATTCATAATGATGTAACTTCTTATAATCATTTTATTTTCAATCAAAATATCCATACTTATTTTCATAATTTTATAAATGTCATTGATAGATTATTGTGGATCTAGTTTCTATATAAGTTTTTTGTTTACAAATCATTTTTCATATAGATATATCTATATTTAGGATTTAAAGCTTGATTTGGTAGGAATAGAATAAAAAGATACAAATACTAATCCAAGAAGCTAGAATGAGAAGAAAATTTGAAAAAGATTAATGATTTCTTATAAGATTTGTCATTTTGTTTGGATGATGGAAATTTGGCTTGTCTTTAGAGACAATTTAAGTATTATGAAAATTATATATATAATAATTTATAATCTCACCGATTTTAGTAAATTTTTTAAAGAATTTTTTTTTCTTTTTACGATTTTTTATTCTTCCTTGCTATTACTGACTCAGTAACACTAGAAAATACTAATTAGTGTACTAACTATCATATTAACTAAGACACAAGATATATATGTGAGTACTAGTTTATACACAAATTAATTAATGTTGCTAATATTATTATTTCTAAGCTCATCAATCATTCATATTAGTGATGGAAATTCTCTTTCTTCTTATTTTTTTATCATTAAATCTCTCAATATAAAGGACTCTTTTAAAAGAATATATCTATTTTAATATATAAAGTAAAGTTTGTTGGTGGTATTGATACATTTGTGCCTCATATTTTTAATTTTTCTAAAATATTCTTGTAATTGATGTTTATGTGAAAAAGAAGAAGATGAGACTTACAATTAAGTTCAAGGCTTCGGCATAATAAACCATTATCACTTGAGTAATACATACTATATATGTATTTTTTTTTTTATCATTATTCTTATATTATTATATTTTTTTTTGAGTTACACACACATAATATATATAGATAGAGATGTGAAGTTTGGGTGAAATTATAGTAATAGTGATATACGTAATGATGCATGCCTGTGTGTATGGAGTATGGGTGGTGGTGGCTCACGTCACGTAATGTAATGTAAAAATGCAGGAGATTAAACAGCAACAGGCTGACAGGAAGAATACCCAGACAACTTACCAAGCTTGGCAACCTCAAGATCTTGTAACTTCACTCTACTCTACTCTACTCTACTCTACACCCCCTCTTATATATTTATTAAAAATTATTTATTAACACGTAATTTGATTATTGAATTAGACACAGTACTATTTCACTTGAGGTGAGTTTCACCTTCTTTTTTTTTTTTCTTCTTTTTTTTATATAAATTATAATTATGTCTGATTTTGTGATTGATTTATGTGATAGTAAAATATTGTTATTCCTAAAATGATTCTTTTTTTAACTTCACCTCGTATAAAATTTGCTCTTTGCAGGGATGCATCAAACAACGATTTGTGTGGTACCATTCCAACTTCGGGCTCGTTTTCTAAGTTCACAGAAGCAAGGTTGGTCACTGTCTCATTTACCATTCCATCATGATCCACTTCACATTTTTTTCTTCTTTTTTTTTTTGGAATAAATTACACCATCGGTCCTTTTAATTTGAACAAAACTTCATTTTAGTCTTTGTAATTTCTATTTCAACAATTTAAACTCTATACTTTCAATCTTATTTCAACATAATCTATCTGCAAGTTGTCATTGACATTTTGGATATGGATAAGCCATATTCAAACATAATTGAAAATGTAGAATTTAAATTAATAAAATTAAAATTACATAAATTAAAATGAAATTTTGCTCTAACTAGATGTGCTTCACCCTCTTTTTTTTGTTTTCTTAACATTCGTTTTATGTTTTATGTTTGGATGCAGTTTTATAAATAACCCGAGACTAGAAGGACCAGAGCTAATGGGATTTGTGAGATACGACGTAGGAGGCTGCAACTGAGGCTTGATGCCAGAGAAGAGGCCACCCTTTGCTTTTGCCAAAAAAGAAAAATATTTTGTTTTTCTAACTTATAATATGTAAGTGGGAAAGCTTCCTTATATATGATGAATCAAGTGGAGATTCTCAACTCCATGTCGTGTCTTAGTTGTAATATATACCATAATATAAATACATTTTATACATATGCTGCCACTAATGGATATGCTGGGCTGTTTTTAATTTAAGAATGTTATTGTACCATATAGAAATAGATAGACAAACTTTAATGCTCTCAAGAATCTTCTTGTGGTTTTTTTTTTTTTTTTTTTGTTCTTCTTGTTCTGATTCTGATTCTGATTGATGTTCTTCTTCGAGAAAGTCATCTTCATCACTATTTAGAAGTCTTTTTTTTTTTTGTTGCTTTTGTTTGTTTTTTTCGCTTATTGTCCTTTTTATGGTCATGTTTCTTTGCTGAAGAGTCTGTTGATGTGCTTTGATTGATGTGCAATAACTATATTTCTTGTTCAGTTGGGGTTAAAGCACTTTGGTCAACCTGCATTGGAACAATGTGGCATATATCAGTAATACTGTAAAATTGGTCAGTTTCATAATATGATTTGTACTCTGAGTAATGTGAGTTAAGTATTGAAAATATGTTGTTTAAAACTGTAAATTTTTACAGTTTCATAACATAATGTTAGTGTGATCAATGTTAGTGTTAAACAGATTTTTTCTTTGAAACTGAAAAATTTTACAATTTCATAACATTATTGTTATTGTAATTACTATGGAACAAGTGTTGTATAGATTTGTGCTTTGAAACTGTAAAATTCACACATTCTAATTAAAGTGTGATTATTTATATATTTTTTAATCACACTTTCTAATTAAAGTGTGATTATTTATACACTACTACTTTTTAATCGCACTTTTTAAATAAGTGTAATTATATATATATATATATATATTTAATCACACCCCACTACAAGAAAAAGCATCTTTGGCTACTAAAAAACACATTTAGTCGCTGAAAGTATAGGTTTTTGGCGACTAAAAAAGCATTAGTAGCCAAAAGTAAAGATTTTTGACGACTAAAAATCTGTTTGGTTGCCCATATATTGCTTTTATCGACTAAAAAAATTTTAGTAGCCAAAAGTAAGGTTTTTTGGTGACTAAAAAAAATTAGTAGCCAAAAGTGAAGTATTGGGTGACTAAAAAAAGTTTGGTTGCCAAATGTGAGATTTTTTGGCGACTAAAAAAAATTTAGTAACCAAAACTGAGGCATTGGGCAACTAAAAAGATGTTTAGTAGCCAAAAGTGAGGCTTTTTTTAGTCGCCAAAAGTGGTAATTTTAGCTCGGAAATTAAATTTTTTAACGACTAAAAACTAATTAGTAGCCAAAAGTATAGGATTGGCGACTAAAATTATGTTTAGTCGCCAAAAGTGGTCTCTTTTTTTTCTAGTAAATAATTTATTTTTACATAAATTATGTTTAATAAAAAATAATTATTTTTATATATATACTTTTATATTAATACGGGTCTATGTACTATATAAATAATATATGTTGCATATATAATCATATGGTGTTATAGAGGTGTAGTGGAAAGAGTATGTTGTATAAGGTTAAGCAAATGAGAAGCTAGTGAGTGTAATTTTTTTTTTTTTTTTTTCACAAGTGAGCTTTTGGCGACTAAAAGGTGTAATCTAAATGTTATTAATCACACTTAAATATTTTTAATTACACTTAAAAGGTGTGATTAAAAATGACCCCTTTTAATCACACAAGATCACACTTTAATAAAACATAAAAGGTGTGATTAAATAACATACATCACACAAAAAATGTGATCTTTATTTGTTTTTGTAGTAATGCATGTTGATTGGATATCGGTAGTTACTTGATTGGATCAGATTTTTGTTAATAATTTATTTTAAAAATTATATTTACCGTTGACAGATATCTGATCCGATCAAGTAACTATCAATATCCGATCAAAGTAATTTTTTTATAAAAATAAAGTATTCAATTAATTTTACACATTCAATGATTCAAATTATCAAAATAAAACTCATAATATGTCTCTATAAATCTAACAATACACTCTAATCTAATTTCAGACTAGATTAAAGCCGGCCCTAAATTCAAACATTACTCGTAAGAATCATGTACGAAAGCAACTCATGCAACTGTGGTGCTTTGCAAAAGTACTAAGATGCCTGCCTGATGAAGACAGTGATGTCATCTTGGGAGACCTGCCAGCCCTGCTGGTTATTATTGTGTTAACAAATATTGAATATTAAATAGATGGTGTGTGTGGGGTTGGTTGGAGTGTTGTTGGTTTCAATAGAGGCTCAAGTTTCCTAAGAATGTCTCTTGTTGGAGATTTTAAGATTTGTTTATTGCAGTCTTTTTGTTTTCGGCTAGTTAACCTTAAACTTTGGGCTCATTGGTCACATGATTACATGTGATTCATGTCTTTGGATCTTGTTTTTTTTTGAAATTTCACGAGATCTGTTGAAAGGTTGTGGTGATACAGTTTGTTTTAGGTAAAACGGGTCGGATGGATCCACGTTCCTCAATTTATGTCTGAATGGCGAAGTTCACCAGAAGACCTGCATAAGAGTTCAACGGGGAACGGGGAGTCCCTCAGCGAACCCTCCGACGAGCAAGTTAGAGAGGGAAATAGAATGCAGAGATGAATTAGAGATAGAAAAACTTAACCTTCTTCCTGTCTTCGACGTCTGCTTATATCCTCTAGTAATCATTTCGTTGTCCCTTCTGATTTGTCACCTTGGCCGAAAGTCTATGCTCTAACTTACCTTGTTCATGGTGAAGGCGTTTTGTTCCAACGGAGAGGGGTTATCGCAATAAATGTTGTAAAGGGTTTCATTAATGGTGATGTGTAGTGGTAATAACTTTGCAGATCTTTGTCTGCTTATGTGGCTTACCCTTCTCTTGCCATGTGTCTTGCTATCATTAGCTCTTATTGCTACGTAGGGCTTCAGCAATGCTGGGCTTTAGTATTTGAGTTATGTATTGGGCCCTAAATAGTGGGCTATAATCTTTATGGGTTTACCTATGTCAGTAGTCCCTTATTTCCAAGTGCAGCTTTAGCCCAACGAAGGGAATAATGAAGAAAACGAGGGTTGTGAGAGATCGGCAGGGTGAAGGCTGACCGAGAGGAGTGACCAACCATGAGGAGGGCCGACCGCAAAGGGTGGCCGAGCGGAGGAACCGACCAAGAGGAGGGCCGACCGCGAAGGGTGGCCGAGCAGAGGGACCGACCACGAGGAGGGCCGATCGCGAAGGGTGGTCGAAGGAAGGGATCGACCATGAGGATGGTCGACCACGAGAGGTGGCCGAACGGAGGGACCGACCATGAGGAAGGCCGACCACGAAGGGTGGCCGAGCAGAGGGACCGACCATAAGGAGGGCCGACCACGAAGGGGGGTGGTGGTGCGCGAGGCTCAAGGGACGGCGGGGCACGTGGTGATTTGAAGTGGAAAAGACAGAGTAGGTGGGGGGCAGTGAATCGTGGTCGTACACGTGGCAGGATCTTGTAGTGGGGAAGGTTAGGCGTTGGGCAAGAAGTGAAACGATAGGCCATTATAGGGTGTCGAAAAGACAGTTTTGGCGGATTTTTGAAAAATTTCAAAATGGCAAAATTTAATTAGGACCCTTGGAATATAGGCAAACCTTGGGCTTTTGGTATTATTCGTTTCACGTATCTTTTTGCAAACAACCAAAATATTCTAAGTGTAAACTCCTTCGTCGTTAGTGATACACCCCTGCAACACTTCGTGAACTATCTCGCACCAGCATCTGAAGCTATTCGCAGACATATGAAAGAGATGGCCTAAGAGGAAACAACAAACGCAAGGGTCGATCCATTGGGCGACAATGATGCGGTGGATTTGGCAGAACAATACCAGACGGAGAGGCGAGTGGGAAGCGAGGAGGAGCCGGTGGGGCGACCTCGTTCGTCTACAATGATAGCGACTGCGCAACCAATCAGCCAGGTTGAGCCAGATCACTGCCATACGAAGGCCGATAAGTCGACCATTGCTGCGGATGAGTTGGTGGGTATACGCGAGAAATACCAGATTCCCGCAGAAATAGAGTTAAAGCTGCCGACAACGAATGAGAGGCCATCTGACGCCCGACCAGGAGAGTTTGCCCTCTACGAGGAGGCGTTGAAGGGAGGGTTGAGGTTGCCACTTCCGCAGGTGGTAGTGGATGTCCTAAATCGGTTAGAAGTGGCGCCAGGTCAACTAATGCCTAACGCGTGGAAGATTGTACTGGCCTGTGCAAGCGCGTGGCCGAGGGCGAACGAGGGGGCGGCTATGACAGTGGACGAGTTTTTTGCATGCTACAAGGCCTCGGGGCAGCAGGAAACTTGGGTCACTTTGCAGGCGGCGGTAGGGAGGGGCCTGGTGGCGAGTTTGTCGTCATCAATAAAGGGGTGGAGGCCGCAGTGGTTCTACATGTCCATAAACGGAGGAGTTAGAGTGTGCACGATGTGGAGAGCGCCCACCAAGTGTGTGGGGCCAAAGTTGGGGGCAACAGCTGAGGAGAGGGTAAAGAAGGTGAATGCATGGAGGAAGAAGGAGGGTGCCAAATGGGACGAGCTCGTTCAGCCGTCAGCCTTGTTTGCCACAAGGTTGGGCCCTCAGTCGACCGGTGGAGACCTGGAACCAGTAGAATTAGAGGCGAGAAGAAAGGCGCAACCGGCGGAGGATAGGACCATTCTCGCCAAGGCCAGTAAATTCAAAGAGTCACAGGCAGACCGGCCGCCGAAGCTGATCGCGAGGGAGAGGATCTGACCGTGCCCCAAACTGCTGGGGGAAAAGGACTTGGTTGAATTTGAGCCATGACCACCCTCAATTGATCCTTTGGAGGAAAGGGCCAACAAGGAGGTGGAGGCTATGGCGAAGAAGAAGAGAAGGGTAACGGAGAGGGAGGAGGGGCTAGCCCTGAAGATGAGGAAGGAGGTGACGGCGGAGGAGACCTTCGAAGTGGAGTTGGAGGAAGCAGCTAAGGGGGTGGAGAGTGGGGCGACTGGCCCTGAAGAACCAATGAAAAGTGGGGTGATCGGCGCTGGGCAGAGGGCAGAGCCACAGCCTAGGGAGGGTCTTGCGCCCCAAGGAGAAGGAAAGAGGGCTGGGTTGAAGACCGACTTCTACCACGTCCCAGCGGTGTCCGGGCAAGTGGAAGGAGAAGGGAGAGAGGCTAGGATGGCTA